TTACATTACATCACATTACATTACGTTACATTACGTTACGTTACATTACATTACATTACATTACATTACATTACATTACATTACATTACACTACACTACACTACACTACACTACACTACACTACACTACACTACATTACATTACATTACGTTACGCTACATTACATTACATTACATTACATTACATATGGTTACATATACATACAGATATAAATAGAGATCGTTGCTACAATTATTTTCGCTAACATCAAACAGGTTGCTAACGGCATGACTTACATCGTTAGCGGACTGTTTGTAGTTTTCATACGCTCGAGCCGTTCATTGTCACCGGTTTTACGTTTTATGTCCAAGGAGTTTCTTGAGCTTGTCAAGAGCAACTTTGACACAGTGCGCTTTAGTGGGCAAGTGCCTCGTCGGCAGTCCCATCGAGGGACAGAGACTAGCGTTTAGTATTTAGCATTGGGAAGGAGCTTTAGGATTCGTTTCAAGCTTGTAAGGTTTGGGCTGTAGGATGCTATAGAGTTTAGGGTGTGGGGTTTAGGGCAGGGTTTCGGGACGTGGTTCAGGATGGCTGTTGGATCGGAAGCCGTCCCATCGGTCGCGAATAGAATAGCTCTGGATAGCTTTCGATCATAATTAGTGGGGCTGTGTTGGTTTTGGATGAGTGTTTTTTCGAACAGCACGCAATTTGGCTTTGGTACAGGTTGCATAAGTCCGATTGTTTGCTTATCGGTTTTCAATCTAGCACCTCTCGCCACTGTTAGACTGTTGGATACAGTGTCCTCGGCTTCAAATAATTTCGACCAGACCCCGCTAGCCCTGGCACTGTGCATGAATCATAGTGCAGCAAACCTGCAGGCCCTTGGCGGGCGAATGCAGGGTTCGCATTCGGGAGGTCCTGGCATCAGCCGACAAATGCACACGGACGGACTGTAATTGGGGGCTCCGACGTGGCTGCATTGCAAGGCAGGGTTTCTAGAAGGTGTAGCGTGCGGAACCCAAAGCTGCCCCACGACATGTCATGGGAATCTTCATCGGCTCATTGCCATAAACCCCGTTTATTGCCTTGATTATAGAGGCTCCCTAGTCAGTCCCAGCATGGACCCCTGATGTCTACGATCACATTAGTGAAGGATCAAATACTCGTAGGGCTCTGTCTAGAAACACGTAAGATTCTGGCGATTGCGACGTGGCGGCGTGTATTGGTTCGTAAACTCGGGACAGATTTAGCACTAGACAGCACCGGAAGGCCTGGCTTTTCGGGCAAAGCTGTGCCTCGAAGCTGTGCTGTCATGCGTGTTTTTTTGTCTCAAGGGCTATTGAGTTTCTAACATGCTCATTCGCCTGAATGTTGTTTACCTACCTACCTACCTACCTACCTACCTACCGACCGACCGAATCCCAATCATGTCTCTATTCGCACATTAAGTGCTTTCTCACCTTTACTTGATTTCGGCACAGTTCATACACAGCGCTCAAGCATTTGAACTTGTATTGATCTCATGAGGTTCCGGTCCAGGATCTGGACCTCTACTTCTGCACGCTGGTCTATGGCACCTGAGCAGCAAAGACCAGACGCGCTGACAAATAACCCCAGTAGCAGCGGTAGCTTTAGGAGCTTCAGCAGAAGCAGTATAGCAGTATAGCAGTAGTAGAAGCTGCAGCATGTGCAGCACGAGTTGCCGTCTTCGTTGCCGACAGTGGTCGTAAGCTGGGATAGAGTAGGTAGCCGTTCACCAGCGTATTTACTCAATTGAGGAAGTGCCTGCCAGAGATCCAGAGCCTCACAGGTAGCAAGCCTGCTTTCACGTCCATCCATGCGCTTTGGGACAAGTTTGAAGTTGGCGAGCCGCGCGGCTGCAAGCTCAGCGCAGCGGGTCAAAACACGCTCGAACCATGAGAGATTTGGTGCAGGGTTCGCGGGAGCTTTCTTCACGGAACAGAGGACGCAAAATTCTGGAGTTCAATAAATAACATGGGGTGTATTGATGAATTCTGATGCCAAGTTGGTGGTCCTGTAACTGGAAGCTCTTTTCGCCTTGACTCCTCGGTGGTATCATTTATGCACTCTCCTTTCGATGCTGCCCCATTCAGCCCCAGCCCGAAAGCCCGGATTGTCGGATTCCCCAGAGCGCGATGTTTAGCCACAAGGCAGTAAATCCAAGCTTTTTGCACTAAATCGCGTTCGGACCTTAGGGTAAGCCCATAACTTCTAAAACAACATGATTCGCAGATGAAGTTACGCGTGAGGATCCATGGCGATGAGTTTTGAATTTTGAGCCACTGGTTGGTTTGGGATTTAATGGGGCTTGGCTACTGTTCCAGTTTTGGTCCAGGGGTTTTCAGAGTTTAGAGAATATGGCTTCATACGCTGCAGCCTACCACAGCGATCTGAATACAACTTGTTCTCTCTGCGCTTAGTGCGGCAAGCATCTTCCGAATAAGAGCGGTTGAAGGCGCCGTGTGCTTCCCTTAGACCCTGTATAAGTTCTCGGCCCTCGGCCACAACGACCTGCCAGCGCTGTTGTATTCCCAAAACCCAGCCAAAGCTCGATTTCAGGAAAGGCTACATGACCAAGGACGAATGGTTCAACCTGCGGCTCGATTCACAGTCTAACTCCTCAACCTCAATGCCCTACCCAACACCATCCCTAGCAGGGCTGGCCTGGTCGCAGGGCCTCCGGAGACGCTCACACACACAGAAAACTATATACATATAAATGAGCATGTAAGTAACTAAGTAAGTAAGTAAGTAAGTATGTATGTATGCATGCATGTATGTATGTATGTATGTATGTATGTATGTATGTATGTATGTATGTGTGTAATCCTTTCCCCTAATATTAAGCGGGGACCCCCCGATAGATACTCGAAAAGTGTTCTTATTATTCGTATGTTTATCTCTACTGCCACTTTTGAGGGGACGCGCTCTTGCTCCCGCTCTGGCTGTTGCTGCGTCTCTTGCTCCTGCTCCTGCTCTTGCTGTTGCTCTTGCTCAGACTCCGTTTCTTGCTTTTGCTGCTCTTGCTGATGCTGCCGCTTTTGCTCTTGCTTCTGCTCTTGCTCTTGCTCTCACTGTGCTCTAAGGGTATTTGGAACCTCGAAACCCTCCCCCTAATTTAGAATCGGCTCTAAAGGGCAGGGATGAGTTCGGGAGGATTGGGCCAATGTGTTTTACTATTAAGGGGGTGATTAATAAAAAGGGAGGAACGATTATGTATGCATGCATGCACGTATGTACGTATAGCATATATATATATATATA